TCACTGACCATTAAAACAGAAGCTCCCCTCGCCAGCTCTCTGCTTAGCCAGCCAGCCGTCCAGCTGTTGCAGATTTCCCATCCTCATCTTACTGTGGATGAGAAACTGGGGCCCGTGGAGACCCCAGAGCTCCAGGAAGCAAGGCAGCAGCCCAGGGCTTGAGGGGACCATCCCTTTCCCATGTGCCCCCCAGCCTGAGAGAGTTCTACTCTGTTCCTCCTCACTCTTCCGGCCTTAAAAAATGTGGCACAGATTCTATGTGTATTCCCCAAAGAATCGAACACAAGGACTCAGATATTTGTGCACCCAAGTTCATAGCAGCACTATTTACAATAGCCACAGGTGGACACAACCCCAAAATCCATTGATGGATGAACACAGTGTGATCTATACGTACCATTTATTACTGTAACACAGTGCCTTGTCCAGCTATAAAAGGGCACAGAATTCTGACACATGTAACAAGGAAGACGAACCTTGAACTATGCTAAGTGAACTAATCAAGTCACAGAAGGACACATGCCGTATGATTTCACTTCTACGAAGTGCCCAGAATGGGCAGATTCATAGAGCCAGAAGGTAGAGCAGTGGTCGCCAGGGCTCGGAGGGAGGGAATGGGGAGTGAGTGTTTCATGGGCACAGAATTTCTCTGGTTGATGAAAAAGTTCCAGAATGACAATTCCTAACATTGTGAATGTACTTAAAACACTGAATTGTGTACTCAAAAATGCTTAAAATGGAAGTTTTATGTTATATACATTGTACCACTATAAAAAGAAAAAACCGGGGCCTACATGCCAGGCTGAAGTTGCAGGCTGGGGGCGTGTAGGTGGGGGGCAGAGGAGGGGGCTGCTTCTCTCTCCTCCTCCTCCTCCCTCTCTGTAAATGAAGTAAGGCTCGGGCCTTTCTGCTCTGAATGTTCCCCGACCCCCTGGAGGAGGGGCCTCTCAGCTCCCTGCCCGGGGCTCATTCTGAAACACAGACATGATGTACCCACCTGGCTCCCCCAGGAAGCCCTAGGGGAGCATGTAGGGGGACAGGCCAGTGAGGGGTGCTGTGATCATCTGGTCTTTGCTGTGGGCACCTGGGGCTCCACTCACTTGGCCCTGCTGAGGGACCCTGTGGAATGCACCTCAGAATTGCCTGGGACACAAAGAAGGGTGTGTTTGTCCCATCACGGGTGGCCGCATGGGGTACTGGCACCCCACACTTCCAGGTTGCAGGCACCAGGGCCAGGTGGGCCCCCGCAGGCCCCTTGTGACCTGTGTCAGAGGAGGCCCGGGCGGGAGGCACACAGGGCAGCTGGGGGGAGGCACTGTCGGGCTGCCCCGCGTGGATCTGATCGGGCAGCAATGCCCAGAGTACAAGGGGCCCAAGAGGACGTGAGGGCACAAGTGGCTTCTGTTGGGAGAAGCCTATTTTTTCCTTTGGGGACCAAACTGCTGCAGGGTTGGGATGGGTGTCAGTGCCTGGCTCTCCTCTGAGAGCCAGGGTGGGTTTGGGGTGACTGCAGGACCCAGGCTCCCCCACAGGGCTACGGCACGTCCCTGTAAATCTCGGCATGCCTGGGAGAGCCAGGCGGGCAGGCCAGAGGCTCCCGGGGCTGGCAGAACCTGGCATGCCATCCTCCTGGACAGGGCTCCCTGTGACGTTCCTGCAAAGCCGGGTCCTCTGACCGTACCTGTCAGGTGTGCCAGGAAGCCCTTGATAAGATCTGAGGGCTTCGAGGAATAATGGGCGTGGCCTTAGGTGCTGGCTTGTCCTGCAGGCAGCTCCTTTTCAGCCTCCTCTGGACACCAGCCTTACCATTCCCACCCAGTTGAGGCCACCTGCCCAGGGCTGGGCACTGCGCCTGTGTGGGGCCCAGCCCTCCAGAGCCTGTTCCCAGTAAGAAACACACACACACACACACACACACACGCATGCACACAGAGCACTTGAAGAATCCACTGCTCGTTGGAGGGGCAGTGGGGGATCTGAGACCTGTCCTGAGGGCCTGAGCAGGCTGCCAAGAGGTGGGAGAAAAGGGGCAGGGGGGTGTAGGTGGAGTTGTGCAGACCGGGAGCTCTGCTGTGTGAACCTGGGCAAGTGACTCAGCCTCTCTGAACTTCTGTTTTCTCTACTAAGTAGTATAATTATACGGATTTCATAGGGTTGCTGTAAAGGGTGGAGAGGGTGAAGGCATATCAGTGCTGAGAAGAGTGCCTGGCACATGATGTGGGCCCAGTAGATATTTGCCATTCCTGTTACTAGTAGAAGTTGCTGTGTTCACACCCATCGCCGAGGCTGGATGGATCCTTTGCATATAGCCGGCCACTAAACCAGAGCATTGGTCTAATTGTCAGATGGCCTCTAGGTGCGGTGCCACATCCCCTGAGCATAAGGACCTCTAGATCTGGAAGGTAGAGGGAAGGAGAAAGTGCTTCCAGGTGAGGGTGCAGTGTGAGCAAAAACAGAGGCAGGAAAGAGCATCCTGTGCTCGTTTTCTATTGTTGTGTAACAAACGACAACAGACTCAGGCTTTAGACAACATCACTTACTATCTCACAGTGTTGTAAGTCAGAGGTCGGCGCAGCATATTACGAGGCTGAAATCAAGGTGTTGGCCAGGCTGAATCCTTGGCTGGAAGGTCTGGGGAGGGGGGCGGAATCTGCTTCCAAGCTCATTGGTTCTCTGCAGAGTTCAATTCCTTGTGGTTGGAGGACTGAGGTGCCCACTTCCTCGCTGGTTATTGACTGAAGACTGCTCTCGGCTGCCAAAGGCCACCCGCCTGCCTTGCCATGTGTCCCTCTCCCTTCAAGTTGGTGACTGTGCACTGCGTCTTTCCCGTCCTTTGGATCTCTGGCTTCTTCTGCTGTCTCTGACCTCTAGTCCCAAATTTAAAGGGCTCATGAGCTTGGATCAGGCCCTCTTGAATAGTCTTTCCGTCTTAAGGCCACTGATTTGGAATTTAATTACACTTGCAAAGTCCCTTCCCAGAAGTACCTAGATTCATGTTTGAGTCACTGGGAGAAGGTGCACACCCAGGACTGTCTTGGAACCTACCACACCTGGCAGGTGCCTGGGATGAGGAGCAGAGTAGCCAGGGGCAGGAGCAGGGCCTGGGCTTAGGCATGGGTGCCACTGGAGCAGGAAGGCCAAGGTGGGTGCTGGTGGTGGGAGGGGTGTGAGGCCCTGTAGGCCTTGAAAGGCAGGTGGGGGAAGAGGCACTGGACATCTACCAGCCCACCCCTGCCTTCCACTAGATGCACTTATCCTAATCTGGGCTGACTCCTTGTAGACCTGCTGCCACCCTGGCCTCTGCACCTGGGTTCCCTCGTTCTGATGAGGATAACACCTAGATCTGAAACCTCCAGCCTCTGACTCCTCTCTAGGATGGGTGGACAGACCCCCAAGTCCCAAGGCCGCTGAGCTCAGGAGCCCAGAGCAAGCCCCTGCAGCCCCTCAGAGCTCCCCTGCAGCCGGCCTGGGGTCCAAGGGCAGCCAGACCCCTTGCAGCAGCCAGAAGCCAAAAGAGAAGTCAGGAAACCAGGTGAAGATGTGTGTCCACCAGGACAGTTCATCAGCTGGGCGGTTCTCCCTCCCCGTCCACCACCCTCTGAGACGGCCGGCGAGGGCGTGGGAAGTCAACATTCATGGTCTCGGAGGCATTTCTGGAACCCAGCAGGCCCTTTCTGGCCCTGCCTTGGATCCATTACAACTAAACATTCAACTAACCCTGGATTATTGGCAAATAGCTATGTTCCAGAAAAAGTTCTCAGTAACCCAAGATTTTGAAATTTAAATGCTCCGTTAAACACACTAGGACATTATCATGGACAGTAACATTCACACAACCCTGTGGTTTCAGAGCCCTGTGCATTCATCGTTCAGGTCTTCTGTGGGGTTTCCCATGGCGGTGGTTTGGGGCAAGACCATTCTGCTAGTTGTGATGATGAACTCACCTGTAGGCTGTTTCCTCCGGCTGAGTGGGGTCTTCTATGGAGATCACAGGTCTCCAGATAGTAAAAGAGACACAAGGCCAGCCATAAAGCTCCTTCCCATCTGGCCTCAAGCCCATCAGAGGAAGGGTAGGGTCCCTGGTCTAGACGTGAGAAGGTTCTAGCTGTCTCACTCCCAGGCAGGTTTGGTGTGATCTGCAGTGATGAGGAGATGGGAAGGGGCAGTGAGGGTGTCCCAGCAGGCTTAGGCCCCTGCAGGGCTGGGTTGACCCAGTCTTGCCAGAAAGGACCACAGTTCTGCTGGTGGATTTTAGCCAGCGTCCCAGGAACAGCTGGGCACATATGCCAGGCCACTCCTGAGAGACGGCCAGAGAGCTAATGGGGGTAGTCGTGCTCCTATGGGGGTGGCCAGGCAGTGTCACATTCCTACAGACTGAACGCAGTGTGTGCCCCAGTGGCTGCACCAGCACACGGCTGCAAAATTGTTCTTATAACTTCTGGCCTACAGGCCGCAACTAATTTAGGGCACAGTCTGGTGACCAAAGAGAAGACAAGGTGGTTTTTAGAAAGAGGCAGTTCCTTGGAGGGCCCAGGCCCTCTAGAGGGTTTGTGTCTGGGGACGCCCTTGTACACCCTAATTCTTAGGTCAGGGTTGTCACAGTCTGTGGTCTATTTTATTCTGCTTTGTTGCAATTCTGTTAAATCCAAGTTGGGGAATGCGCTTGGGTGGTAGGTTGGGCTTATCTTCTGCATTTCCTGTGCGTTAAGGCCTTAGTGTACACTAACTCTGACGTTGCACAAGTTACCGTGCTGGCCAATTGGGCACGTGACCTGCCTTCTCTGGGCCTCAGTTTCCCTCCCCACACAGTAGGAATCACAGAACATCCTTTAGGCTAAAGGCAAGCCAGCACCCCGCTGACTTCCTGGGGCTGTCGGGAGACCAACCTGCTGTGATGGATGAGAACATGTTCCCGGCAGTGGACAGTATTTTCCAAGTGGGGGACCTGTCCTGGCCTCCAGTGGCGTCTCACCGAGTCTGTCTGTCCTCTTTCCCACCAGCCCCGGCCCAGGCCCCTGAGCTGGAGGATGGAAAACTCCTCGGCAGCGTCGGCCTCCTCCGAGGCTGGGAGCAGCCGCTCCCAGGAGATCGAGGAGCTGGAGCGCTTCATCGACAGCTACGTGCTGGAGTACCAGGTGCAGGGGCTGCTGGCCGACAAGACAGAGGGCGACGGCGAGAGCGAGAGGACGCAGTCCCACATCTCCCAGGTGAGCCCTGGCCTCGGCAAACTTAGAGGGGGTGATGCAGGGGACCCTGATTCTCCCAGAATTCGGTCACCTGACCCTAGACTGCCAAGGCATGGGTGGTGCCACCCAGCAGAGCACCAAGAATCCTGCAGGTGAGGCTTTGGGATACCGGCAGGAAGCACCCAGCGGTGCACACGCCCCCGCCACCCCCGACCCACCTGCACTGCGTCCTATCCATGGGGCCGCTGGGGCAACAGCCAGGCTGACGGGTCTTTGAACACATCCTCTGAGCACCTACGCCGTGCCAGGCGCTGTTCCCTGTCCTCAATAAGCTTCTGTTCTAGAAGAGATCTGGAAATTGTAGCTCATCCATCATGTATACCATCAGAGGGCTATAACTTGTGAATAGTTTCTCTGATTTCAAATCTAGGCAGTTGTTGGCAGCCAAAGAAATTAGTCCTTGTGCTGCCTCCCCAGGGCTCCATGTGCCAGATGCTCTTAGATGTGTTAGTCATCGGACCAGAACCTCGGTTTGGTCTCGCCCCCTCCTGGGTCAGCCTGTGACGGCCCTGACCTTGGATGGGATGTGGACTCAGCTGAAAAAGATTGTGGGTTGGGCTTTGAAAGTCTCAAGTTCTACCCAATAAAGTATGAATGCATTGAGGGCAGGACCCTATGGCACGTACCTTTGCCTGACACCATAAATCCTCAGTAGATATCTGTTCAAGAGCTGGTTCCAGATTTGCTTCTAGCTACCTGTGTGACCTTGGCTTGAGCCCTCAATGTCTCTGGGGCTTAGTTTTCTTATCTGGCACGTGGGGATTATCCTGCTGCCTCGGGAATGTCAGAAGAGACAGAGGTACGAAAGCACAGAGGATAGGGTGCTGTCTGCACAAGGAGGGTCTCCTGTCTTGTCTGGGGTGAGGGTCCCAGGAGTCCACCTCTTGTACTTGTTGTCCTCAAGCCCGGGACTCCTGTGACAAGTAGAGAGTGAGCTACTTGGGTGTGCCCTGCTTTGGAGAAAAGCCAATGCAACCACCTGGCTCACTCTCTGGGTAGAGAGAAAGCCCGGGTCCTCTAGCTTTTTAGGAAGCCAGAAAAAAACTGGTGGCCTTCCTACAACTCAGACCAGAAGTCACCCTGGAAAGTGCTGAAGCCACAGTGATCCCGTGCCCTGTCCCCATTGGGGAGCAGGGGACAGAAAATCGCCCTAAGGGAGGAATAGAAACAGCTGCAATGCTTTCCCTAGCGTCCTTGAAGCTCTAGATTGCAAGTGTATGCCTGTAATTTGTTCATCGTTCAGTCTGCGAGTGTTTACTGAGCCCCGCGCCGCGGGCCAGCGCTGTTCCAAAGGGTGCGTCCGGGAGTGAGTGAAGCTGACAAAACGCTCTGCCCTCGTGGGACTTACATTCTAGTAGTGGGTGATCCTTGCAATGGAGAAAAATAAAGCAAGAAAATGGAAGGGGCAGGGAGTGAGGAGGGGCAGGAGGGACTTGCAATTTTAAGTGTACTAGGCAGGGACGATGTCACGGAAGGAAGGCCAGGGGCGAGCCAGGCAGGAGCATCAGGCCAAGGGAGCAGCCCGTGCACAGCGCTGGGCTGGAAGAGAGGTCCAGGCGCAGCAAGGGGGCTGGGTGCTGGGGCAGAGGACGAGGGCGCTAGAGCTAGGGAGACAGGGAGAGTAGGACCCTGGCGATGGGACCTGGGGTTGCCCCACTTTAGAAAGAAGGGCTGTGAGGAGGAGCCAGCCAGAGGGAGCACTGGGGCTGGAGGATGGCCAAGCCAGCGTGGGGTGCTGAAGGCAGGGGATGGGAGTGGGGAGGGGAGGCCTTCGAGGAAGCCAGAGGGGGACTGCCTGGGGTGCTGCTGCCAGGCCATGTTGTCGGGCCTGAGAATGGCTGTCCGAGCAGTGGAGACCATGACGGGGGTGTCCCCGTTGGGTAGTGGGGGTGAAAGCCTGGCTGGGTTGGCTCAAGGGAGAGCAGAGGAGACGGACTGGAGACAGGAGTATAGCACGACTGACCGCCTTGAGGAGCTCAGCTGTGAAGGGCAGAGACGTGGTGGCATTTGGGAACGCATAGGAGCGACATGTGTGTTTGTTGTGGGGAGTGGTGGGGCAGGAGGAGGGTTGCTGGAGGCCTGTCCTGTCCCCAGCCCCTGGGGTCATCCACAGGATGTGCAGCCTCGCATTGAAAATGACCCCTGCAGCTTAGCTGTGGGTTCTTCAGCTGCTTTCAGCCACGAAGAGGCAGGTGCAGAGCTATGACGATGACTTCAGCCAGGATTGACGTTTCTCCAGGGAGTACGGTGTAGGGAGAGGGGACACGGGGGGGCGGGGGGGTTAGGGGGAGGGAGGTGAGGGAGTGATGGTGGTGGTATAGCCTGGAAGCCGAGCCAGGCGAGGAGGGCAGTGGGCACAGGGCGGGCGGTGGATGCTGAGGCTGGAAGGGTCAGCAGATTGGAGGGTTGGTGAGCCCAAGAACTGTTGGAGGGAATCGGAGGGACTGAGCTAGAAGACGGGGAATCCAAGAGTAGGTGGCCAGGGAAAGGCTGGGTATGAGCTTGGGAATTCCTGGAGGACAGGGAAGACCAGGAGGAGAGCTGGTCATGGGTCTCAAAATTGCCAAGAAAGGACAAAACAGAACGTTGGAGAGGGTGGCTGTGATCCAAGAGAAGAGCCCTCAAGGAGAGCAGAGAGCGAGGTGGGGGTGGCGGCATCGTGGTCTACGACTGATTGCAAGGAGGGTGGCAAGAGTCTCATCTAACAGTGCATTAATTTATTTTTGTAACTTCTTTTCTTAGTTTAAGCTATCCTTATTGTACAATTAACAATATTATAACCTGGAGTGGACTGGAGTATCATGATCAGGATGGAATTGGAAAATTCCAAGAGAAATTAGCCTCTTTGCATTGTTTAGGGCAGGAACTAGGTGACCCAACTCTTGCATCCGAGAGCTGAGTTCCCTGGGAGCAGGCCCCGTGGACGGGCGCGTGGGCTGGCCTGGAGCTCCCTGGCGTGTGCTCCCTGCCTCCCCCACCGTGTGGAACCCGGGGCCTCCGGTGGGGTATCCTTGGAAGTTCCTCCAGCTAAAATTAAAATGCAATTTTACAGGAGGAGGGGCCCAGGAAGCTGTGAAGCTTCACCCAGAGGCATGCTTTGCTGATGGTGGAATTTCTGTGCCCAGAGCAGCCATCTGCGAGACAGTTTTGGAAAGAGGGGCCCTCCCGGCACCTCTGATCTCCTGGTGATGACTGATTACCAAGCTCTTGGGAGGGAGGGCAGGTGGTGGAGTGCCCTCGGTCTGGGCCCTCTGCTTCTGGCTCCTGCTGCTGGGATCAAGTGGGCCTGACTCACACGTGGACACCCACATCTGTGTGGCAGGGGGGCAAGACTGAGGAGGGGCTTCTAAACCAATGTCTGCTGTGAGGCGGAGTATGGGGACCACCACCACTGGTGACATTGGATGCATTCTTTAAACTTTCCCCATGCTCTGGAGTTCCTTTTTTTTTTTTTTTTTTGACAGAGTCTCACTCTGTTGCCCAGGCTAGAGTGAGTGTCGTGGCATCAGCCTAGCTCACAGCAACCTCAAACTCCTGGGCTCAAGGGATCCTTCTGCCTCAGCCTCCCCAGTCGCTGGGACTACAGGCATGCGCAACCATGCCCAGCTAATTTTTTCTGTATATTTTTAGTTGGCCAATTAATTTCTTTCTATTTTTAGTAGAGACAGGGTCTTGCTCTTGCTCAGGCTGGTTTTGAACTCCTGAGCTCAAACGATCTTCTGGCCTCAGCCTCCCAGAGTGCTAGGATTACAGGCGTGAGCCACTGTACCTGGCCTAGAGTTCTCTTGAAGAATCCAAACCCCTGGCAAGATTCCAGGACCCGGAAAGGAGGGACGTTTCAATGCCGATCCTCCTGAACCCCTGCCTCCCCTGCCCCCACACTCACAAACACACCAGGGGACAGACTCCAGAGCAGGGGACAGCTGTGGCCAGCTCAGAGCAAGGCCAAGGTCAGATGTGTGTCTACATGAGACACTTCTTTAAAAAATACCAGTCTCTAGGACACAGCCTTATGGGAAATATTTCTGCTAAGTCACTTTTGTTTGTTTTTATTTAACCTGGTGACTATTTTAAATGGAAACCAAAAAATAAAAAAATAAAAGAACACAAAACCAAACACTCAGAGAATGTGTCTGTCTGCCTGTCTGTGGTGATGTTTTGAATCTTCTGGGAAAGGAAAATCGTTAAGAATCTTGGAAACCTTGAGAAACCTGAGGGAGTGGAGAACAATGTTGCTCTTCAAGGCAGTGAGGTCACTTTTTAGGGTGTGAGAAGTGACAGTTAACACTCCAGGAAGAAAACATCTCACATGATGCTTCTACAGTTGTGCCCCACCCCCATCCCTCCCTCAGGAACAGCTGGAAAGAAAACACGGGTGGATAGGTAGATGGATCTTCCGCACCCAAATGTGGGTAGCCAGGAGAATGTGTATGTGCAGTTTCCAACACTCTCTGGATACCATATTTAAAATTATACCCCTCCCCATATTTTAGGAGCAGCTACTCTCCAGTGGATCCCAAGTCCCCAGAGTCATATCCAGAAAGTTCTCGCTCTGTCCTTAGGAGGAAGAGGATTATAGCCCTATCCTAAAGGAAGGAAACTGAGGCACAGAGATGGACAATGGCCAAACCACATTGCTCAGTGGTGGCTGAGTGGGCCCGGGAGCCCCAGCCCCACCCTACTCACTTCTAGTTTCCTGCTGGGTGTAGGCTACAACGGGTAGGGTGTTGGGCGGCGAATACATAATGTTTCCTATGGAAAGAGCATTAGGACTCCACATCTCATTGACCACAAACCTTTCGGGGAAGAAGCGAGGACGTTACAAGTGGGGAGAAGTTTGGTACTTACAATGGTAGTGGGTGCTGTCATGCGTCGAGACAAAGCTGTAGAGCGGTGTTTGCAACGCCGGCTGAACACAGAAGCCTCAGGAAGCCTTGGAAAATATTGATGTACGGGCCTCGTCTCCGGAGACCCGGCTGAATACGGGGGACGCCTGAGCACTGACATTTTCACAGGCCCTGGTGTGAGTCTGGTGTCCCGCTGAGGTTGGCAGCCATGGCTGGGGCAAGGCTGTCTCCTTTTTCGCGCCTCCCTGGCCAGCTGCCTCCTCCTGCAGTCTCCTGGAAGGAGGGAACGTGGGGACATTGTGAAGAGCAGACACGTTTAATGGAGGCATGGTTTCCAATAAATTCATGTTAACAGGCCAAATTCAGAGCCAGGGAGGGTGAAGCTAACTCCGATAGTGCTTTTTGATGCTGTCAGGCACTTGGAAGTCCTGGCTTTTGTTGAAAATGTGAAATGATTTTTTAATTCCCATGGCCCTGTGTCCTAGACAAAGTGATCTTTCAAAGAGAGATGCAACGATGGAGATGTGTAGAGTAGGGTCAGAGCATTCCGATTGACTGAATATCTTTTGCTAACATGTTTTTCCTTCTCTTTCCCTTCACATTCCTCCTTCATTCTGCCTTCCCTCTTCACCATTCCCTCACCCCTTTTAAAATCCCATTTTTTCGTTTCCTCTTGCCCTTAAATCCATTTTCCCCACCATCTTGTTTGCAGGAGGAAGCGCTCAATGGTGGACCACCCATCATGAAAGGCTTAACAGAAGAAGTGAGTTCATAGGAGGACTGCAGGGTGGTTGGGCATGGGGGATTTATTCTGTATTTCCCCTTGTTTAAAACATTTTATTTTTAATCATATGAGTACTTTATGCATGCATTCTCATGGTGCATGAAAATTTGAATATTAACAATAAAATCTTCCTGAGTTACCACCTCAGTCCACTGCCTTACCCCTACCTGCCAGCCAGTTGGTGAATTAACTTCCTCACCATTTTTAATGCATTTACTGACAGATAGACGACTCATAGAAATACATTATTTCAAAATCAGATATCGTAGCCACTGGATATGTTGTTCAGTAACTTGAATTTTTCACCTAACCATATGCCCTAGGGATTCTTTCTGGGTTTGTACATCCTCTGTGTTCTGGGTAATGGCTGCACACTTGTCCGTGGTATGGATTTATTTAACCCTTCATTTAATGATGGGTATTCAGGTTACTTCTAAATTTTCCCGTGGAAATACATGATACTCGAGTGCATTCTGTTGGACATTCCTCCTTCGGCACAAATAAAAGTCTTTCTTCAGGTAGACGCTGAGCAGTAGAATTCAAGTTAATAGCTGTTACCAAATTGCTCTCCAGAATGGCTGTGCCATTAGTCACAGTGGCAAAAGTGCGTTGGGACACCTTGTCATTTTAATTTGCATTGTCTTGATTTCTAGTGAGCTTGGATGCTTTTAAATTTGATTACTGGCCATTTTTTTTAATAGGCTAAAATTTTATTTCATTAAAGCAACATTTGGAAAAACAGAAACAATTGGCAAATAGAAAAAAAACCCACTATCATTTTATGACAACTAGTGTAATTTTTGTGGATTTTTTCTTTATGCATGTTTTATAAAGCTGTACTTCTAGTGTTTATGTAAGTTTTAGCTTGCTTGTTTATTTAGTATGATCTCCTAGACATCATTTGGTGGTTTTTAGCATAAAGTGTAGTTGTTGAAATCTGCTCGTGTTCTGCCAGGTACTTACTCTTGGCTAAGTAGTAAAATACAATATAATTAGGGCTAACATTTATTCAATCAGACTCTGTTGTAGGCTCTGGGGGCAAAGCCATGAGCAGAACAGTGGGGATCACTGTCCTCTTAGGGCTTTATTCTCATGGGGACAGACAGACACTGGCAGAGAATGCAACGGGGTGTTAGGAGGCGCTGTGTGGCCGGGTGGGGCAGGAGGTGGGTAGGAGTGGAGGCTGGGCCTAGAAGGCTCCATAGGAGCCAAGATTTGAAGGAAGTGAGAGAGCGGGCGGCTTGGGGATGAGCATCTGGGCAGAGGGAACGGGGGGGCAAAGTGGGAGTGTGGGGGTGCCCCACTTCGTCATTAGCAGAGTGAGCGGGAGGAGCATGTTAGAGAGCGAGCACCCTGGCCTTGCCCTGAGTGGGAGGGGGAGAGACGTGGGGGGACAGAGGAGGAGGAGGAAGAGGATGTGAGTAGAGGAGGGGCACAGAGGACCGGCCGAATGTCATGGCTCTGGACGCTGTGTGGGGACTAAGCTCTGGCGGGCGGCTGGGGGTGGGGGTAGCTGAAAAGAGAGGAAGCAGGAGACCAGGAAGCCAGCTCACGGGTCCAGGGAGAGGTGGTGGGGATTCGGCAGTGTGGCCGCCGTGGAGGTGCTGAGATGCCGTTGGAGTCTGGGTGCACTTTGGAGATGCTGACACCGTGATTGACCCTGAGGATTTTAGCCTGAGCAAATAGAAAGATAGACTTTCCAGAAATGCGATATGGAAGACTCCGGAAGAGCAGCTTTGGGGAGCAAAGGTCAAGTGCTCAGTTTGGGACATGAAAGGTGATAGATATCGTTAGGCGTCTTAGCAGAGATGCTGGTCCAGCCGGTCCGTGTGCAGGGTTTGCGTTTGGAGCAGGGAAATGAACTCAAGATTCACATTTGTAAATAATCAGCATATGGATGGTGTTTGAAGCCCAGGAAGTGAGGAAATTTGGAAGAGAAGGTCAAAGATTGAGCCATAAGTTAAGACGTTGGGGAGGCGAGGAGAAGCTAACAAAGGAGACTGTGTCAAGTGTTTCTCACATGTTAACTCACTTACTCTTTATAATTCTACGAAGAAGATGCTGTTATCATCACCATTTTATAAGGGAGGAAACTGAAGCACAGAGAGGTTGATTGAATTTCCCGAGGTCGCACAGCAAGTACGTGGAAAGCCTGGGGTTTGACCCAGGGGGTCTGTCTCCAGGTGCCATATACTTACCCTCTCTGCTTTTGGTAGATCTGTTTTTATTACAGGTGGGCAAACTTCGTCTTGGGGATGAAGTGACTTGCCCAGTGTCATAGAGTAAGCGGCAGAACTGGGATATGAACTCAGGGTTGTGTGCTTCAAGAACTCAAGCTCTTAATCACTATGCTAAGCTGCCTCTGCACCAGGAACGTTGTTTTTTTTAAGATAGGAACAAAAGCCCTTCTCCCTCTCTCAAATCTCAGCCATGGGCAGCATCCTGTCCCCTGACCATAGTCTTTTCTAGAGGCTCCCTGTGGATCGAGATGGAGCTGCCAGGCAGTTTCGGGTCCTGCTGCCCGTCTTGGTTCTCCTCCCCTGGGCAGTGAGCCCTGTCCCCAGGATAAGGGAAGAAGCTGGCAGTGTCCTCTGTTGGAGGGGTTGGGTCTTTAGGCTGGCAGGATTCTGGCTGGGCTCTGGGAGGCTGTGAGGAAGCCACCTCCCCCATCAGCCTCGGGTCCCCTTCAGGGGAATGGGGGCATCAGGCGACATTCTGAAGTGCCCACGTGGGGCAGGTTTTGCAAACAGAGGCCATGTCCCACCACACACCCATCCATTCAGACCCTTCGCAGGCCCTCGAAATAAGCCCCTGGGTGGTTCTGACACACCCTTGGTTAAGAAGCCCTGGGTAAGGTGACCTTTTAAATAATTTTTATTTTGAAAGAATTTCAAGTGTATATAGAAATTACAATAATAACACAAAAAATTTCTGCCTGTTTGTTAACATTTTACTACCTTTGCACCCATGTTCTCTCTCTCTAAATATTTATTATAATGACATATATATATGTAATTTTTATATATTACTTTTTTCTGAATAATTTAAAAGTAAGTTCCAGATGTGATGCCCTTTTATCTCTTGATACTTCAGTGTATTTGCTAAGAATGAGGACATTCTCTTATATAATCATAATACAGGAAATAAACATTGATATAATACTATTGCTTAATCTACAGACCTTGTGTCTCACCAGTTTTCCCAATAATATTGTTTATAGCAAAAAAAAAAAAATGCAGCTGTGATCTGTGATCCAAGATCACAGGTGATCACTCATTGCATTTAGTATCTGTCATTTTTTTTTTTTTTTGGCTCTTTGATTGCACCTGTTTATGCGGTTTGCTCATCCCTGGGTAAGTTATCAATCACACACCCCCCCTCGGTCTCCATGCTTGCAGGGTGCCACGAGGAGGCAATGTGAACACAGTATTCTAACGGGCTTAGAATAGTACTTCAATTTAAGTGAAATCTTTGTATATTCTGGTGATTTTTCCTTTGTCGTACAATAGTCCCCCCTCATCTGTAGTTTCACTTTCCATGGTTTCAGTTACGTGTAGTCTCAACTGCAGTCTGAAAATATTCAATTGAAAATTCCAGAAATAAGCAATTTATACATTTTAGATTGTATGCTGTTCTGAGTGGCATGATGGAGTCTCACCCTCTCCTGCTCAGGCCGTGAATTGTCATCCGTTTGTCTAGGGTATCCATCGTCATCTTGGTCACTTAGTGGCCGTCTCAGTTATCAGATGGAATAAACATCATGTACACAGGGTTCGGTGCTACCTGCGGTGTCAGGCGTCCACTGGAGGTGTTGGAAAACATCCCCTGAGGATAAGAGGGGGCTGCTGTACATGTCACAAGTAGCTTCCCACTTGTCTTTGCTCATGACTTCTTTTGTCACATAGACATTTGAAATTTTTATGTCATTTTGACAGAGTTCAAAACTTGGATAGTGTAAGGTAGACATCTAGAGTAATTTTTTTCTTTAATGTCTAGCTGGTTGTCTCAATACTGTGTATTTATCAGTGAACTTCTCCTTTGCCCCAATTTAAAACACTATCTTTATCATATACCAAGTTCTCATTTGTACTTTAATTTGCTTATGGATGCGGCTTTATCAGTTGATCTGCTTTTCTTTTCCTGTACTGATTTAACACGTTGCTTTGGCTCTAGCCTGATGATGTACTTTGATATCTGGTGGGGCCAGTCCCTGCGGGGAATTTTAGACACCACTGAAAAGTGGGCCCAGTTTAGGGTTAGGACCTTCAGCCACCCCTAACTTTGAGCTTTTCCCTTCTCACTCCTCCATCTCCAACGCCCGGAGCCTTGTGGTCTTCTCCATCCTCTCCTAAAACGCTGTCCCTTCTGGGATGCAAATGAATGATGGCTTATTTTCATTGTTTTTTTTTTTTTTGCTGTAAAATACTTAAAATATACTAGTAAGAGCAGGCAATAATAGAATAAACTTCTATTTTGAGTGCAGAACAAATATCTGTGCTCTCGTGTTTATTAAATCTTAACCCTGTGTCATATGTGTTCCAGCTTTTTAAATTCAGGCATAAATTATAACAGGTGCAGTCGAGGCCCTAAACCACGCTTGTGAATCCGATGTTCACTGTCCGCGTATGTAACCACTTCCCACGTTTCCTGCCTCTTTTTCTTGAATGACCTTTCACGTAAGATATCACCTTTACCCGCCGAGAGGACTTGCAGGTTAAGGAGGCTCAAAGCTGTCAGGCTGTCGGCCTGCAAGGAGAAGTGTTCTCCGTGTGGGATTTCGGGCTGGGCCCGGGCCGAGGAGAGTGTCTGGAGAGGCGGGACCCTGCCTGTTATTACTCTTGTCAGACGGGTCAGGACAGGTTCTGTGGAGGTCTGCGTCTGGAGACGTTCCGGGTGGTGGCTCAGAGAGGCAGAGTGTTGGCAGGAGGTGGTGTCATTGAGAGCAGCATCCCGGCAGAGACGGGGAAGGAACTTGGAATAGGGAAGGGAGGGCTTGCAGAGGACCTGGGAGGAAGCACGTGTCCCTGGTGGAGGTGGTTCGGACAGCGGCCCTGGGGGGGACACCCCTGGGGCTGCGGCTTGGCCGGGGGTTTGCGGTGGGTAGAGCTTGCTGGGACAACCATGATAATTCACACAGTCCCTCCCTGGGTGCCATGGACGCTGCACAACCAGGACCACAGTCCCTCCTCCTGCCCGGGGACTGTGCCTGGACCCAGCCTTGCTAGGTCTTGGGAACAGCTCTCTGTGGACGTCATCATCTCGCTCCCTTTCCAGGGGCACAGCCCCCTCTGCACCTGCTGCTTGTCTGCCCACACTCGCGGATCCATTTCTCCATTTCCATCTGCACCCTCACGGCTGACGGCCCACACATGTGGCCTCGTCTCCTGACCTGCTTCCTCGCTCCCTCCCCCACCAGTTCAGCCTTCCCTAGCAGGCGAGCCCTCCCCGATCGAGCCTTCCACCCCTGTCTGCGGAGGAGATGACTCTGACGTCTTTAGCTTGACAGCTGTCATCTCTCCACAGTGGCCGCTGCTCCCCTGCACCTGTTGACACGCTCGGGCTCACTCTTTTCTGGGAATCTTGGGCTGGAAGGAACATGGGTTCCTTCCTCTAAGCCCCTACCAAGAACACAGTCTTCCTCATCTCAGCCGCACGGTCGCACCTCTCCTTGCATGGCTGTGATGTGACATGTCTTACCTCTCCTAAGAAGGGGTCTCTTGCCAGTCCCAGACAGAAGGCACTCGGGACATGGCGTTTGGTGGCCAGTGGAAAGTTACAGGTGACTTTGGATGAAGTGGAGTGGTCTCCTTGGAGCTGGGAACTGCTCTTGGAAAGCTCTCCAAGGGGGGTGAGGTTGCGTACGGACGCAAGTGAAGCCTCTGTGTCCTCGTGCCAGGAGGAGCCAGCTGGGCTCCCAGCCCCACCCTGCCCGGGATCATGCTGAGCCAGGAGGAGGTGTGCCCACCCATGAGTCACCGTGCTGCGGGATGTCACCTCGGTGGTGTGCAGCTGGGGTTGAAGTGTTTGGGGTGCCTGGAAGGGGAGAAGCCTTTTCCCAAGAGGCTGCCCTAGGATGGGATGAGGAGTGCACATGTGGCCTTGTCTTGTCCCCAGCCAGGGGACACCGTGTGCCTTAGCTGACCCCCACCCCACGCTGTCAGCCAGGCTCCACCTGGGGGAGGAGAAACCACTTCAGCGTGTAAAGCAGAGGGATTGTTTTCACAGCACTGGAAACATTATATACATCCGTCCATAGATACATACACACATTTGTGTGTGTTTATTATTCAAAAATGTGTATATAGGTACTTATAAATATGTATACATGCATAGGTGTGCATGCATGTATATGCAAATATGCATGTATACATGTATGTGCACATATGCATGCATACATGTGTATCACTTTTTGTTTGGGAATTATTTTAGACTTATAGCCAAGGTGCAAAAATAGGACAGAGTGTTCCTGTACGCTTGTCACTCAGCTTCCCCTCATATGAACATCTTACATAACCATAGGACAATGATCAGAAGTAAGAAATTAGCATTGGTACAATGCTCTTAACTAGAGACTCTATTAAGATTTCACCAGCTTTTCTGCTAATGTCCTTTTTGTGTTCCACGATCCAAATTTGCATTTAATTGCCATATCTCCTCCTTCTCCTCCAACCTGTGATACTTTCTTGGTCTTGTCTTTTCTTTTTCAACCTTGACTCATTTGAAGAGTTCTGATCACTGATTTTGGGGAAAGCTCATCAGTTTGGGGGGCCCAATGTTCTCTGATGATATCGTCAAGGGTATGGGTGTTTGTCAAGAGTATTCGGGAGAGGGGTGCCCCTCTCAGCGCATCCTGCCGGGGGGTCCGTGGTGGCAATACATGTTGTTACCAGTCAGATCCACCTTGACACTGGCTGGCGTGGTGTCTGATGGAGTTCTCATTTTCTGCTTTTCCCCCTTGTTAATTATTAATGATAAATACCTCCATTTACTCCAGAAACTTTGAGACTGCAATTTTTGAAACGGAGGGAATTTAATCCGGGGGGTTGGTTCCCCAGAGCTGAGAAGCTGCACAACCATAGATCGCAGCCTCAGGCAGCCGTTACATCTCTTAACCTGATGAGCTGCAAAGGATGGGGGGTCAGGGGCACGCGCAGAAGCCTGTCTGGGGAGGGCTAGAGCCACGAAGGAAGGACCCCCAGGCTCTGCTGGCAATGCCGCCTGGGTTATAGCGAGTCGGGGAGAAATGCCCTGGCCTCCCTTCTCCCGTCTCCCAGTGGCTGAACCCAGCCGGCAGCCAGGAGCCCGGGAACCGCAGTCTGCAGGGGTCAGGGCTGGGCAAGAAGTGGTTCTGACGCCTTTGCCGTATCTCCAGGGCTGCGCTGTCCAATGTGGTAGCCACAAGGCACCTGTGGCTCTCAACCACTTGAGACGTGGCTCATCCAAGCTGTGCTCTATATGGATTTCAAAAACTTAGTGTAGATAGAAGAATATAAAATATCTCATTGATAAATTCTTATATTGATTGCCTATTGAAGTGATATTTCGATATATGGGATTAAATAAAATGTATTATTTAATTTAATTTTACATGTTTCCTTTAAAAATCTGGCTACTAGAAAATTTACAGTTGTGCCCGTGGCTGCTATTGGTGGCTCTCGTTTCATTTCAGTTGGGCAGTGCTTGCTCGGGAGTGCACTTGTACCCAGCCTGTGTTATCAGCATTGTAGTAATTTGCCCTTCCTGGAAAAAGGTCATGCCCTTGACAAACTGTTAGGAGGGCACGTCCAGCCAAGGTTTTAGAAAACCAGGACTTCCCCGGCCTGCAGCCACCCACACTCACACTGTTGACCAGGGGACCAGGTGCATCAAACGGAGAGACCAGGCTTCCCTCTGCGCTTCCTGCAGCACACGCGGTGCGGGGTCAGTCAGCGTTCAGCAGCGTTAGCCGGAGGCTGGCTAATGTTTAACACAGCCACAAAAGTGCCGCCCTATGGCTAGCCGGCACCTGACGGGAGAGCTGTACTCCTGCCACATATCTGTGCAAGGTTTTTATAGCTTACAAAGGTCCTCTCTGCCTGTGCTGCGGACTCGCCCAGCGCTGCTGCCCCACTCTGTAGAGGGTGAAACGAAGCCTGAGAGATCGCATGGATTTCAGTGGCTCCCAGACTTCCGGGGCATCACTGGGGAGCTTGTCGAAATGCTGATCCCCAGGCCCTGGCGTGATGCACAGAGGGTGGAGGGTGGGGCCCAGGGACCTCTGCAGGCAGACTCTGGGGACTGTCATGCAGGTGGCTGTCAGACCACACTTCGGGACACACCCACGCTCTGAGCTCTCAGGGGTGTGACTGCTGGGACTGGGCTTAAGCTGGGCGTCTGATGGCCAGGCTGGGCACTTTCCCTGTGCCAGGGCCGTCATTTTTTGGAGGTGGATGTGCAGGAAGAACTGCATGTACGTGCCTCATCTCCAGCTCTAGCCGCATCCTTGACATTGGAGAAGGCGAGTGTGGCTGAAGCCCAGTCACGCGGTCAGGTGTGGTGCTGGTTGTCCAAAACGCATGATAACCCGGTGTCATGTCTGGTTGACTGGAATGTAGCCGGGTCTTCATCACTTTGGTGGGCTGAGGGGAGGGGAAGTTAGTTTACCTCCCCCAGGCATACAGCGAAGGTTCATCTTGATGTGCAGTTGGGAGATACGAACTTGGACCTGGTGCTCGGGAAGGATTTGCTCTTGCAAATGGCCAAGTAGAGTTTGATTCCCGTGCTACTGTGGAAGGGCAGGGGCACACCTGGGGGCCCGGGCCGGGTGAGGGTGAGGCTGGCTGTCCTGCCGTCACTGACCACTCCTTTCTGCCCTGCAGTGGACGGCGGACTGCAACGAGCCGCTAGACAGCAGCTGTTCCTTCTCCCGAGGGCGAGCCCCCCCGCAGCAGGTAGGGAGCCAGCTCTGTGCTCTGTCTGGGGGTGTCGTGTGTCTTGTCTGTCTGGGTCCTGGGTGGCTCCTGAGCAGTGACGATATAGAGATTGCGGGAGGTGGGAGGGGGAAGGTGGATCTGCCCCTATGGAAAGTTCGCCCTTAATTCCCTGTCCCCAGTGAAACACCCCTGCCCGAAACTCATCAATCCGTAAGATTGCGTTTCAGTAGCAGCATTATATAGAATAACACACATTTGGAAACAACCCAAACATCCACTGAGAGGAGAATGGGGACGTGCCTTGTGACATATGCTCACGGTGGAACATGCTACAGCAGTCAAGGGACTGAACTGGAGGTTCATGCACCCACATTGATGGACCCCACAAACAATGGGACGTGGTGCATTTTCTTGCTGGTGGGCAATTTGGAGATCACCTCTACTCTAGGTCTGCAGAGGGCTCAGGAGGAGCAGTTTATTGGGGGCGTAGTCACAGACCTGTGCCTCCCCCCGGCTGGCCAAATGCCCTGGGACCTGTCTAGAGTCTTCCACTTCTCTGCTGCTTGCCTGTGATGTCCTAAGAGGCTTGTCAGTGGGTCGTGTGGCCCAGAGGGAAGGGATGCAGCTGCTCTTTGAGAGCCATCCTGGTGACCTCAGGCCCCCCAGTACCCCCTCACCCTCTGGTGGTCCTGCTGTTCTTGCCGATACCTCACCCCTGCCTGCGGGAGCCCGTGCAATTAGAGGCTGAGAAAACCCCAGCTCAGCCTTGTGATGAAAGGCCTGATTTTTAGACATCAGAGACTGAATTAATTATGCACAAATAAGAGGGTGCCACAATCAAGACAAGTTTATTTTCTCTTGCTACCAGCCTGGATGGGTCTGCAGGGCTGGGCTGGGCTGGCAGCTCAGCAGTGTCAGGTGGGCTCCCTCTCTCTTGCTGCTCTGCCTTCTCTGTGGCCTTTGTCCGCGTGGCCTGTAGTGGCTCATGCCCATGTCCATGCTCCCACCAGTGGGGGCACTCGCCCTGAGTCTTTTCCCTGGGAACTTCTGATTTCCCCTCGTGGAGCAGCTGTCTCCTGATGCCCCCTGGTGGAGGGATCCAAGCTGGCCAGTGTCCCTTGAGTGACCGAGCCACAAGGAAAGCCCCATGTAGCTGGCCTGTGGCAGCTGCCCTCGCCACACCTGTCCCACAGGGGCTCTCTGATGGGGGACCAGGGAGCTGCCCATTCACGCGTGTATTTGCTGTGTGTGGCTCTGTTGTGGTGCTGCTGGCCCAGCTGCCCTTCAAGTCCCCCTTTGGCCCAACCCACCAGGAGCGAGAACACAGGTCCAGCTCTCGGGGACACCACCAGCCCCATGGGCACACCAGCTGGCCTCCTCACTGCCCCTCTCGCCTGGGCAGACACTTTCATGTTGCCATCAAGCTGTCCCATGTACATCTGCCTGTGCCCTCAGCCAGCTGGGCGACCCTAAGGTGGGGCTGGCTCTGTGTCTCAGCCACCACTGGCCTCGGGCCTTGCACACAGCAGGGGTTCAGCAGAGATGCCTGAGACTGCACTGAGTGGGCCCAGGCCTGGTCCATGCAGCCATTCCCTAGTGCCCCTTTCCTCTGGCCACACTAACTTTGATGAGCTTTCTGGGGCTGTTCGGATGGGGTGGGGGGAGCTCTACTAACCCACATTCACCCACGGGGGAGAATTAGTTTCTGGGGGAAACTAATCAAGGTGGGTGGCTGTCTGCTCTGTGCTCCTATGAAAGCCTGACTTGGCTGCATGTGCCCAGGAAAGCAGAGGTTGGGAGGAGGACGCTGAGTTCTTCCTTCTGCCCAGAAAGCTCTGGGTGGCGGGTCACAGACCACGCCCTGAACCAGAGCCCAGGTGCAGGCACCATTTGGAGATTAGTCATGCTCTGGGATTGTTTATTCACCCACAGAAGACTGCCATCCTCATTCTGCTTGTTATTTTAACGAATATATATATATATATATATATATATATATATATATATATATATATATATAACCCTTACCTTTCCTGAACCCTTTCAGAGGCACAGAGTAGGGGTGACTTAGGTTAGGTTGAGCCCCATGACATAGGAGGAAGGCAGCCTAACGAGTGCAGAACAAAAGAACGGGCCACAGAGAGTCAGTCCAGCGGAGGCCCGCCCAGCTGCCGGCAGCTGGGAGTCAGCTGTGTTTGGGATCGCCCGCTTCCTGGCATCCTTGTTCCGAGAGACCTGCCCATCACCTTGTCATTTGATTTGGATGTCGGAACAGTTTCCAGCTTGTCATTGTAACAGGGGAAATGCGCAGCGATGGCTGAGAGGAATGCATCTGACATGGGAGTGTGACAGCAGGACATTCAGAAAACTTTCCAAGGCGCCGTCATGGGATTTAGAATTTAGGAAAGAAGCCAAAGACATATGGAAGGTTGTATGGGCTCAGGAGTGAGCGGCTCTTTTCCATCTGCACAGAAGTGCCAAGGAAAGGAAATCAATGTGCACAACAGCAGCAGAGCCTCTGATTAGACCTTGAGAAGGACTTCCCGGCTGAAGGACTGTGGGCCCACAGTGTTGGCTGTTGATGGAGTCTTTGGTGATGAAGTCTTTGTGGGAAAGTTGATGAGCATGCCTCCTTATCAGACAGGATCATGTGAAGCCCTGGGAAAGATGGGGGCGTGTCAGAAACTATGACACGAGTCTTGGCTGAGGGCCCATGATCCCACACTCCCTGGAACCATAAGTGTAGGGCATGCTTCTGTTCCATCGTGATGCCCTGTAGCAAATTGAAGCCCCAGGAAAGTGTGAAAGAGCCTGTGTCAAGGACCAGGAGAACCAGATGTTGACCCAGGAGTGACACGGATTCCAAGCACCTTTTCTGCAAAATGAAGTGCTGGCCTACACTAATCTCCAAGGCTCCCCGGAAATCTCTTTTTTTGTTGACATTCTGTGTCTCCCTGAAATGCCCAACTACATCCAAATTACTGGAGTGGCAGTCTGGATCTTTCCGATTTCTCCACTGTTCCCCACCCCAATACCTTGGCCAGCCTCAGGCTAGTTATAATGGCACCACCATGGACTCCGACCCAGGGGGTGACAGGTGGCCGGTAGAGAGGAGAACCGCAAATGCATGGATTACATCTTGCCCTAGAAAAGGGTGGAAGGAATTTTGTGCCAGTTATCTTGCTGCCCTCCGGTAATTAGAGGATTTGGTTCTATGCCAATTTAAAAAGTCATTGGTACAAATGATGTCTTAGTAAAAGTGCCTAGATTTTTAAACAACTTCCATGGATATGTAAGAAACATCATGTGTATGTTCATGGTGCTGTTCTCTATTCAGTTTGTGTTCTTTGAGCACCTGCTATGAGCTCTGCAGACACATGTAAGCTGGAGCCTTGCAGATCACTGCCTGTTTGCAGAGTACAGGCTAGTTAATGTAAAACAGGGTGACAACATACATGTTACGTACCCCAAAGAGATGTCATCCCAACCACAGGAACTGCAGTGATTCCAGAGAATGGTTGCACTGGTCTCTGTGGGTAAGGAGACGTCTTGCAGGACATGAGACCCGGTCTGTGCCTTTGGGAGCGGGTAGGATGTTTGCCAGATGGAAGGGAAGAGAGAAGACGACGAAGAGAGAGGATGTGATGTTAGCGAGGTCTTGAGGTTGGGCACAGTGTTAGGATGTTAGGGAGACAGGAGAGAGCACAGCTGGAGGGTTTGTGTTGGGTGTTCCTCAAATGGTGGGGATGGCCCAGCACAGGGTCTGTGTGCTGGGCTGAGATGTCATAACTGCTGTCCAGCCCAGCCCCTGTCGTGTGCCTTGGACTGTATATCTTGTATTTTTCTCTGGTGTTCTGTACAGGTAAAGTCTGTCCCCCTGTATCAGTCAGGATAGCCTAGATAATGCTGCAGTAACAAACAAGCCCGAATCACAGTAACTGTAAACAATCAGGACCCAGCTTGATGGTGCGGCTGCCATGTTCACCGGTCACCACGACGGAGGGTGAGGGCTCTGGCGGATCCTGCGCTGGCAGTTCAGCTCTCCGGCCTACAGGCAGTGCACGCCACTTCCACTCTTGGCTTTTTGCCCAGAACGGGTCACACGGCCCCATCCAACCACAAGCATGCTAAGAAGGACAGTCCTCCTCAGTGCCTGGGATGGGGGAAACCAGATCTGTTTGGTGACTATGTAGAATGGCTGTCACATGCCCCACCTCTAGTAGAAGCTCACCAGAGGCCAGGACAGACCTTTTCTTTCCCTCTTCTCCTTCGCCACATCAAATCCTTATTGGGGCTCAAGGATTGAACTCTCCAGTGAACTCTGAAGATGTCACGGGCTCTCCGATGGCAAGAAGCCCAGAGGTCACCTGCTCCCGCTCCCAACCATTCAGGGCAGGAACCCCTCTTGTGGCCGCTGGGCTGCTGGGCGTTTCTCAGAACATCGTCAGGCTCCACTGATAGAAAGTTCTTTCTCTGATTCAGCCCTAAACCCCCTTCTCATAATTCCAGTCGATGGCTTTGATTTTGCTCCTTTGCAAGTCTTCTTTTTAAATGAAATATCCTCCTTATTCCTGCATGAGGAATTTCCTTTTTCGTGGTGAGTTCATTCCATTGTTTATTTATTTGTTCTTTCACTGTGGATCCAGCCAGCCAGTCGTCACTGCGGGCCACGGCGTTCCCGGCTGTGTCCAGGCTGTGTGCGGGCACTGGGGACTGGGATGGCGAGGGGGACAGGCACGGGCCCTGTCTGTACAGAGGTTGGAGGGGAGGACAGGTGCTTAAGCCACAGTGCCAAGAAGTCTGGGACATGACACATTGGTCCCTAGGTCCTGTCCCACCCTGGGTCACCCCCCCCAGAAGTGCTATAAGTGTGCACTGTATGTAAGTCCCCTTACCATGCCTCCCCGAACCAAATGCAGTGCAACCTCTGCTGCTCCTGTGAGTCTCTCCTTCAGTAAATGCCATCTATATATGTCCTAGTGGTGCCCCTGGCTCCAGCTCACTAGGAGGAACAGGAT